CATATATCTCATCCATATTATTTTAAATACATGTAAAATCAGATATTTCATTAAATTCGATAACTAAATGAATACATAACTAAATTTTATACAATGGTACCTAATTAATAATTATTATGCTCATATAACTTGATACCATATAATTTAACAGCTCTTAATTCATCATTCTTAAACATGTATCCAATATAAATCACGTCATTATCAAATATTTAAATAATAACACTTTGAGCTATATTTGTTATAATCATCCTAAATATTTTCTATTTATTTACACATCATGTGATATGAATTAAGTAAAAAAACTTTCCAATCATACTTAAATGAGATTAAAATCATATAAAAAAATTATATTAAAAATCTCATCCATGGAGTAATTACTAATTGATTTAGTAATATCATTATTATATCAAATTTTAAATATTACTTTTCTAATATGCTCACGGGTCTTAAATATTTAGGAGTTAAAATAATTTATATACACTTTCATCTCTTAATTCATTGAAATATCTTTTTAGGACAAAATCATAATAATTTAAAGCTAAAAAATGGATAATATATCGAATATGAAAATTGATCATGATGTTATTATAACAAACATGAGGTCGAAATACTTATGTTTCTAAATGAAATATTAACATCCACCGTAGAATTGAGGATAGATTCTCCTTCCACTCATACGTAACCATTTAATCATCGATTAGGGACATATGTTTTGTCTCATATAACTTAACAATTGAAATTAATAGTAGTTTATATACATCACCTTCTCATAACTCACCAAAATATATTTTAAAGAACAATACGATAAAATTTTATCTAACAATATTATTATATGAAAGATGAGTATAAGACATTCTCTTTCTCATTCGTTACTAATTACTTAAACATAATAAACTAAAATAATCAAATCCTGTTGACCGTTTAATCCAAAATTAGTTTAAGATTATACTATTTTATTAGGAACAGAATCAGCTCCTATAAATACAATAATTTTTATACAATAACATAACTACAAGTTAATAAAAGAAAAATATTTATTTTCTTTCGTTGATCATTCTTTTCTCTGAATATTCTTTCCATTTTCTCGTGTCCTGTGAGTATGTGTGCATCATCCTTTAGAAGCAAGAGTTGTCCTGCATAGAAAGAAGAAGATTGGTTAGAAGGAAGTGTTGGAAAAACAATAACAATAATAATAATAATAATCCTGATTTTGATTCTAACAATCAAACATAAACATAATCCCATACCGATAAACATGCCGTAAACTCGAATGCGAAAGCGTACTCGAATTAGCCATAACGATGATGTCTTTGTAGAGCACTATATTAATCTTATGGTCTTCCACCTGAAGAGCACCTGTATTTCCCTCTTGATTTTCTCTCTTGATGGGGATAGAAAGAAAGGAACGAGACTGATTCTGTGTTCTGTGTGTGTGCTCTCAGAAGGGGACCATGACCCTTTAGATAACCAGAATTAGGTTAATTACTTAAGTTTTAGTATTTCCAATTTGGCCCCTCATCAAATTAGAAATTGCTCTATGGTCTCTACACAATTTTATTTTCATGACATATGCCTTTAGCCAAAACTTTAATTTAGTTAGATCACTTTATTATTTGGCTTAATAAATAATGACCCTAACACATTTAAATATGTATCATATATATACATGACCCAAAATTTGCCAACAATCTCCCACTGGTCACAAATATATATGTCTTTACAACCTTACAAATGTGTTAGACTTTATGAGCTCAAAATTGTCATTATATTCCTTTAGCATATTCCAAAAGTCCTGTCCATTAATCATATCAGGATATAGAACCAAATCAGTTTTTCATTGCATCATCGCAACTAAAACCAACAAGATTACTCATCCCGACATAACCAAATGACATGGATTCATCATGAAATGTGTAGCATGAAAAATTACGTGAAGGTGATCTGTACACGTCTATTTTCAACTGGTCCAAACTTTAACTTATCGAGATCGATACAATAACCTTAATGTACAAAGTGTAATGAATGAACAAGAAAACCGCATATCTATAGATAACCAAATATGTCCAAAAAACAATGTATACATATATAAAATTAAACATAGAACATAAAATATATGAAAATGACTAACTCCCACTAAACCACAAATTCCTCAAACCGTAAAACACCCATGTGAGCAACATGCTCATGAAAGACCTTGGGCGGAAGTCCTTTAGTTAGAGGATATGCTATCATGGAGTTTGTCCTTAAGTGTTCTATGGAAATCTGTCCACTTTGTACTCTTTCCTTAACAATACAACTGATTTATTGTCACAATATAACTTAAGTGGTCTTTCAATGCCTTTCACAATTTGCAGCCCTGTGACAAAATTTCTCAGCCATATTCCATGATTTGATGTCTCATAGCATGCTACAAATTCTTGACATCCTGCAAAATATGAGTCAGAAAATCCAGCGATCTCCAATTGGTCTGACATCCTATATGTGAGCATATAATCTTTTGTTCTCTTTAAATATCTTATGACCCTTTTTGCTGCTTTTCAATGGTCTATTCCTAGATTGCTTAAATATCTGCCTAGAACCCCAACTATGTATGCTATGTCTGGACGCGTACATACTTGGGCATACATCAAACTCCCTACAGCTGATGCATAGGGAATCTTTTGCATTTCCTCAATTTCCAAATTCCCCTTTGGGCACTGATTGAGACTAAACTTGTCTCCCTTTAAACTTGTGATACATACAATCATCAACAATATTCATCTTGAAGCCAAATGAGTTTCATACCTTCTAGTAATGGGACAAGTTCCCAATAACCTTATTGTCTTGCATAGACTTATACTTCTCCTTCATTGCTTCAATCCACTTTTCAGAGTTAGAACCTTGCATGGCTTGACGGAAGTTAACTGGGTCATCTTCCATCATACCATTATTATCTTCATGTTCCTGAAGAAATACCATGTAATCATCTGAAATATCACTTCTTCTTTCTCTAGTGGATCTCCGCAAAGTTATTGGCTCATGATGCACAGGTTCTTGAGGATCTTGAGTTTGTTCTTCATGAACAACCAAATCATCTTGAGTAAGGGGTTCATTAACAATGCATTGTGGAGGTTCCGAACTTACTTTATCAAAAGTAACTGTTTGAATCGGTTCTGGAATTGTTACCGATTCTTCCTCTAAGACAAAGTTCCTGATTTTATTCTTCCCCCCAAACTCAATATCCTCAAAAAACGTAGCAGTTCCTGTCTCAAAAATTGTCTTTAATGTGGGATCATAAAATTTATATCCCCTGGATCTTTCAGCATAACCAATAAAATAACTACTTACTGTTCGGGAGTCCAATTTCTTTTCATTTGGCTTATAAGGCCTTGCCTCAGCTGGACAACCCCACACATGGAAATGCTTCAGACTAGGCTGTCGCCCAATCCAAAGCTCATAAGATGTTTTGGTAGCTGTTTTAGTTGGTACTCTGTTTAGAATATAAGTTGTCATATTTAGTGTCTCTCCCCAAAGTGATTCCAGTAAGGTGGAATGACAAATCATACTCTCTACCATATCTTTAAGAGTGTAACACAAGCCCAAACGTTACAATTTGATGTTACCTGAGCACTTGTGCCATAATGCACTTGAGTGAGTATTTTCAATTTTACGTTTAGTACCACATGATTCTGTATTAAGGGTTTCATTATAGGTGGCCACAATATCAAGTAAATACTGATTATCATAAATTAAAAGTGAACCAGTTCCAACAATATCCGAATTAAAAGACAAACTGAACTTATTGTTTCCAAATGAACATAAATAACCTAATTTGTCCAAATAAGAAACTGAAACCAAATTCGTCTAAATGACGGCATAACAAAAGTTTCTTTCAAATCCAAATAAAAAATCAGTACTTAATAATAATTTAAAATGACTTATAGCTTCCACCTCTACCGATTTGTCATCTCCAACATAAATCCATCTTTCAGAATCAATTGGCTTCCAGGTAGCTTAGGCAACCCTTTATAGAAACACCGATGTTAGTAGTTGCACTCGAGTCTAACCACCAAGTGTTACTAGGTACTGACGCTAAATTGACTTCGAACGCACCAAAGTAGGAAACATACTTTTGAGGATCGGAACATAATTTAAATTGGCGGATACGTAAGCAATTGTAGCTGGATTAGAACAAAAGAAATAAACTAATTATGCTCACATTATATAAAAAAAAATTATAAATAAAATATATATTCAAATAATGGTTTAACCCATCTCAAGACACCCAATGCACCATCAATATCAAGTCTTTGGACGAGTAATATTAACTGCTAGAGGTATCTTGTTGTAATAATCAAACATTGACAATAAAGCACGTCCAACAACAAACCAGTCTTTGGATTGATTTATCATCGACAAAGCTAATCTTTATAATTATCACATGTTTATCATTACAAGTGTATATGCAATTTGGTCAAATATTAATCTTCCTTTGGGCCGACTAATACTCGCATGAATATACACAAACACTAACATTTAATATATTTCACGAACTACCCAATTCAAGAGATGTTACTTTGGTAACTTCTTGACTCAATTTGCTCAAAAAAATATTAAACTACCAAATAATTTGAATATTATATAACAAAACCAAAATTTGATTATTTATTTATATATATATAAAAAAATTATATGGCGTAGAAACCACCACTACAATTTGTAAAACAATTAATCGGGAAGGGCTAAGGACATTTATCAATTTTCCCAAACCCCAAATACTGTCACTGCCAAACCAAAGCAATACGTGTTCTTCCCACTCAAACCTTTTACTATTTCCATCATTTTCTATGCCCATCATTGTGACAGTGGGGTCCACTTCCAAAAGTTTCTCCATCATCTTATCTATTTTAGAATAAATTATGCGATACAGGAATTTGCTAAGTGTACCCTAGGCATGTAATGGATTGAGTCTCGTGAGACTTAACTAAAATCGGAATAATAAAGATTAAAAAAAAATGATTTTATAGAGATGGTGGGAAAGCGATGGAGGCGGAGAGGTTTATGAGGAAGGGGATGGAGTATTGCCAGATGGAGAGAAGCTTGACCCAGTTACCGATGGAGATGCGCATTTTCTGACTCATAGATGAGTGCGAATATGGCTTTGCGGAAGATTTCAGAGCCTCGTCCCAGAGAAGCGCACCCCGGTGCATGACAGCGTTAGTGGCGCCTCACACTATACCCACTCCGATCATCTTCTCCATCTTTGCTCCCTCATTGAATTTGGGAATTTACCCAAAATTTGAAACTAGGTTAAAAATTGGGAATTTTACCTCCAAATTTAAATTTAGGGTTTACAAAAATTGGAGATTATTCTCCACTTAGGGTTCTGAATTTGAATAGAATATTTGATAAATGTAATTTCCAAAAACAAACATGAATCAAGTATGAGTTGCTCTGATACCAATTGTTGGGAAAAACTGATAATTAAATATGATCTTCTTCCTAATGATCAAACATATATATATAATCTCATATTGTAAACATGTTATAAACTAAATGCGAAAGCGTACCTGAATTAGCCATAACGATGATGTCTTTGTAGAGCACTATATTGATCTTATGGTCTTCCACCTGAAGAGCACCTGTATTTCCCTCTTGATTTTCTCTCTTGATGGGGATAGAAAGAAAGGAACGGGACTGATTCTGTGTTCTGTGTGTGTGCTCTCAGAAGGGGACCATGACCCTTTAGATAACCAGAATTAGGTTAATTACTTAAGTTTTAGTATTTCCAATTTGGCCCCTCATCAAATTAGAAATTGCTCTATGGTCTCTACACAATTTTATTTTCATGACATATGCCTTTAGCCAAAACTTTAATTTAGTTAGATCACTTTATTATTTGGCTTAATAAATAATGACCCTAACACATTTAAATATGTATCATATATATACATGACCCAAAATTTGCCAACAGGAAGAAAACATGGGAACAGAAGTAGTTGGTGCATAACTCTGTACAACAAAGATTAGAGATCATAGTTGCCTTGTGTGGTGTGTACAAGAAGTAGAGAAAATATTTTCTCGTGATAGGTGGGTTTGGGGTTAAGTGCATAAGCATTGTTCAAGGCCCAATAGAGTGGTATCTAGAGCAAGGTTCAAGAAGGAATTTTGGGAGTATCATTGTATGTGTACTCATAACTGGTGGAAATCTGATACCGAAAACCTTACCAATGTTTGACGGGAAAGGTTACGATGATTGGTGCGTAAAGATGGAAGTCATTCTTGATTTCTAAAAAATTGATGAAATCGTGAAGGTGGGTTTTAAAGAACCACCCGAGAACATTGATGATGAAGCCAAGAAAACATTTAACAAAGAAGCTGGACCACAAGGCTTAGGTGTTGCTACATCAATATGTTGCTACCAATATTTTTTAGAAAATTTCAAAAGTTGTCACGACAAAGGAGGTTTGAGATATCTTGCAGAATGTGTATGGAAATTCAGGGAAAATCAAGAAAGTGAAACTATAGTCTTTAAGGCCTGGTCTGGGGTCAAACTGTATGTACAACATATGAAGGTATTTGGTTCAATATGTCACAGACATATCTCAGATGAAAAGAGGAAGAAGTTGGATGATAAGAGTGAGCCTTTTATCCTGATTGGTTACCATCCAACAAGTGCCTACAAACTGTATGACCCAGTTAAAAAATTGGTGGTGATTAGTAGAGATGTTGATGTGGATGAGGCAGCCTCTTGAAGCTGGAAAGATGATGTATATACAGTATCACATGTTCCATGTGTTTTGGAAGACAAAGTTGAAACTCCAGCTGCTATACCAAATAGCAGAAAAGAATAAAGGACAAGATTTCTTTCAACCAGACTTATAAATCATGAAATATATGGTGATTTGGTTCATCAGGCACTTATGGTTGACACAAAGCTTATCACATGGAAAGAGGCTTTGAAAATCAGGATACGAAAGATGTTATGAAAGAAGAACTTGAAGTAATTGAGAAAAATAGGACGTGAGAATTTGTTAATTTACCACAAAAAAAAGACCTTATTGATGTGAAGTGGGTCTTCAAACTAAAGTTGAAGCCAAATGGATATGTGGCTAAGTACAAGGTCAAATTAGTTGGAAAGGAATTTTTGCAACAACATGAAATTGACTATACAAAAGTATTTGCTCCTGTAGCAATGATGGAAACTGTGAGATTAGTCACAGCAGTAGCAAGCTCAAAGGATTGGAAAATCAGTCAAATGGATATGAAATCGGCTTTTCTTAATGACCCATTAGAAGAAGAAGTTTATTTCTTAATTCTGAAGGGATTCAAAATGGAAGAATGCAATGAGGTTGTAATACTAGTTATGACTGACCTAAACTTGACTGAAGAAAATGGAGCAAAAGTTGTTGATGCAACCCTATACAAGCAAATTGTGGGATCTCTTAGATTCCTATGCAATAGCAGACCAGACTTAAACTTTGGGGTAGGCTTAATAAGCAGATTTATGCATGATCCTAGAATCCCTCATATGACTGTTGTAAAGCACATCTTGAGGTACTTGAAGGGTACTACAAATTATGAAATTTTCTTTCCTAAGGCAGGTGAACAGAATGAACTAGTGTTGGAAGCTTATTCTAATTTAGATTGGTGTGGAGACAAGATGGAGAGAAGAAGCACTTACGAGTATCTATTTAGGTACCTAAATGCATCAATTTCGTGGTGCTCTAAGAAACAGAAGGTTATAGCTCTCTCTTCGTGGGAAACATAATACATAGTTGCATCTAAGACAACTTGTCAGAGTCTATGATTGGAGGTACTACTGGAGGACTTAAGGATGGTTTACCAAAAACCAGTTCAGTTACATCTTGAGAACAAATCAACTATCAATGTGTCAAGAAACCCTATTCTACATGGAAGAAGCAAGCATATTGACCAAAAATTCCATTTTCTTCATGATCAAGTATGCTAGGAGAAACTAACCCTAATTTATTATTGTATTGAAAATTAAACAACAGATATTTTCACCAAACTATTAAAACATGTTCGGTTTGACAAGTTCAGGACACAAATCGGGATGACTAGCTTAGGATTTTTGGATTAAGGGGGTATTGATCATTTAATCTAAAATTAGTTTAAGATTCTATTATTTTGTTAAGAATAAAATCAACTCCCATAAATATAATATTTTTCTACTGTAAATTAATAAATTAAAAATGTCTATTTTCTTTCGATGATTATTTTTCTTTTTACTTATTCTTTCTCCTTTTCTCATGTTTTGTGAGTGTATGTTCTGTTAGAAACACGAGTTATTTTACATAAAAAAATAAAAATAAAAAAAAGATTGATTAAAAAGAAGAAAAAATGGGAAGAAAAATAGCTTATACATAATTCCGTGTAATAGATATTAAAAATCATAATTATCTTATCTGATATGATAAGCATACAAATATTTTCTGTAATAAGTCTTCAAAGACGAAGAAACCACCTCCCTCAGTCTGTGTAGCTAAAATTATTTCAATTCAATTTCAAACTATTCATTCATCAACTGTCTCATTTTCCTACAATACATATATAAACACTACAGTCTACTTAAAACTAGTTTAACATACAAAATTTAAACTTAACAAATCTTTGGCAATATTAATTTGAATAGAAAAACTACTGCAACACCTATCCACCCCAATTTGACAATCCAACCTAATATTACACGTAACAATTTCAAAAGCTCATCACCAATTCATATTTTTTTAATGCAATATAATGTACATAATCATGTTCAAAATTTAAAAACTTAATAAAAAATATTTTATAATTATTATTTGAAACTTGATCCCTGTAAATATATATAATAAAATAATATTAGAAAATAAACAAATTAAAATTTAATATCTTTAATTTAAATTTAGAAAAGGGAAAATAATAAACTAAAAATTACACTTTCTTCTATCAAATAAAATATTTATAACCAACTTTTTTTCTTTAAAAAATCATTTTTTTTCTTACAAAACTAAGCACGGGCAAAAAGACGGTTAATTGGCCTAATTTACATCGATCAGTCCCTTTGTTTTTTTCATGTATGCCAATATTCATTTCATTTTCATTGGAATGCGTGTAATTAGTGCTAACCATATGGTGTTTTCAATTTTTTAAATGATGCGATATCTTTTTGTCTTCAAAGATGCGGTATCACATGCAATGTCTGTCAGTAAACAAAAAAAATCAATTGAAATATTTATAATTTTTTTATGTATAATTTATTTATTTCCAGGCATTATTTTTTTAATATAATCTATTATTATAAATAAATTTATTAATTACATTAAAATATAATTTATTATTCGATTTAAGTTGGAACTCATAAATACGTGGACTTCGAAACAACAAAATAAAATGTTTATTATGACTTTTCATATTTTAAAAATAAAATATTAGTTATAATAACTTATACTCTCTTTTTTTTTATTAAAGTTCCCGAAAGCAAGTTTCGATATCAATCATTTTTTTATTGACTGTTCAAAGTGTTTTGGTGTTATATATTCTACAAAAACACTTGAAGATAGAAGATAATATTACCCATAAACATTTGAATCACGGTGGATTTCATAGAATCTCTCTCTCTCTCTCTTTTTCTTTTTTTTGTAAAAGTTATCTTTAGTGTATTATATAATAGGTTTCTATATATATATATATATATATATATATATATATATATATATATATATATATATATATATATATATATATATATATATATATATATTAAAGAGAGGACTTCTTTTTTAGTGTTGCATAGTATATGTAAAATATGCATGAAATTAAAAATGTTAAGAATTTAATAAAACAATCTATTAAGTTGAAGATATTAAAAATTGTTTTTTAAATAACTATTTTTTTTATTTAAGAAATATTTAAAGAGTTATATTGATAGATCAATTTTTGTACACTAATTCAACACTTGGTGTATATATATATATATATATATATATATTTAAAGAACCCTCACAATTTTTTAAAATTAATTTTACAGAGTCTATTTTTTTATTATTATAATAGTCTCTTTTATTGGAGTGTAAATATATTAGTTTTAAAATAAAAATACTTATGTAAAATTAGAAGAAAAAAAGTAACAAAAATATAGTATTTTATGAATAAATAGAACACTTGTATGGATTTTTTAAAGCAGATTATTAATATAATTCCAAAAAAA